TAAGCCAGTAAGTCTTTCTCTTCCTCTTTCACATTAAGATAAGTCAAGGTTTTGATGCAATGGTTTGGCTTCTGGATTCTGGTTTACTGTTTTTCTTTTTTCTTCCCATCTTGTCTTAGGACCGAAAGCATAGTAAAAGAACTGGAGCTGCTTGGGAGGATCACAGCTCTGGACCTGAACTCCGAGCGAACAGAGCTGCTGACCTGTTCCCGTGATGATCTACTAAAGATCATTGATCTGCGGGTTGGTGCTGTCAAGCAAACATTCAGGTGAGTATGCTCCCCTCAAGAACACTTGGAGTTTCAAACCTCTGGGTTGCTGATTGCTCTCAATGTTGGATTTTTTCAACATCTCCATGGACTGCTTTGTCCCCTGTCTTTTTTTTAATCCCACATTGGTAGCAAGGTTCTCTGCAGTTTAACAGGAAAGCTCTGTTATGGTGTTTCTTTTCATTTGTCCCTATAAAGTTGGTAAATGGGAAAGGTAAAGGAAAGAACTACTTCAGATATGATTTGTGTGTGTATGAAAAACAGGAATTGTGATAAAGGGGTACTGGAGGTTATTCTGAACCATCTTCTTATAAATGATGTTACAGTTATCTGATTCTAATTTTTCAGCGCCCAAGGGTTCAAATGCGGCTCTGACTGGACGAGAGTTGTGTTCAGGTAAGGTCAGATATACGGAAGATATCCTCTGATTAAATCTGATCCCCAGCAAGTGATTCATCATGCTTGGCTGTACTGTCTCATTTACAGCTAGAAAAACTTTGGACAGAACTTGTGATTTGCTTGAGCTACCTCTTATTCAAGGCAGTGTGTCTGTACGTGTTGATCAACTTTCTTGGAGGCTTTCAGATTTATAGGTGCTTTTGCTCTGAGCAGGTGTTAACACAACTTTTTAAAGAATGCGATACCAAGTTGCTTGCTTAGGTAGTTGAACGTGAAATGATGATTTGTGCTTATAAGTTGCTGACTTGAAGAAAATGTTCTGTGCCTTCTACTCCTCTGACCTCGTAGCCCTGATGGTAACTACGTGGCTGCTGGTTCAGCTGATGGGGCCCTCTACATTTGGAACGTGCTCACTGGGAAATTGGAGAGGACTCTTGCAAAGCATCACAGGTGAGGGGAAGCTGGCCATTTAATCTGAAGCAGGGACCTAGGTTGTGAACCTTGATGAGTGATGAAAGAGGTGTAGTCAAACAGCTTTACTGTTCATGTTGGTGTGCAAGAATTTGAATTCAGATTCTTTGTGAATTCATGTCAGTATTCTCCAGATTGACCGAAGGTTAGGTTTGTTATTGTTCAACTTCTTAAATTGGCATAAGATTCTAATAAAGTATGTTTAACGTATTCTGAAAAAAAAAAACAGTATCCCTGTTAGGCTATCAAAGGCAGGACTATCCTGAGGGCTGAGAATAAAAGTGCTTGTTCTTCTGTAGTCAGGGTGCTAGAATATTTCATTCCCTTGTTAAGTGCTGTTGTGGTATTAGCTTTTGGTTTGTTTTAAACTTATACCTGGCTTCCCTTTCAGTTCTTCTATCAATGCAGTCGCGTGGTCGCCAGCAGGTGCCCATGTGGTCAGTGTGGACAAAGGAAACAAGGCTGTCCTGTGGGCTGAATTTTGACTGGACGGAGGGTGGAGGGCAGAGCGTCCAGCGCCTCTGGGTATGGCGCTGCTGGTCCGTGGCCAAGCAGAATGGAGACCCGAGCCCAGATCCATCCGGAGCGGGGATATTGACAAGTGCATGGGCTTCACTTTCCAGAGGAAAGTTCCAAAGCAGTGGAGAAGGAGCCTGAGTCAGAGACTTCTTATGGCTGTAACCACGCTGTGGCACTCGGACTCAGCAAGGGATTAGCTGTTCTGGATGGAGAATGCTACTTAGTCATGCCTTTACGTGCAGTAGCTATGCACCAAGTGGAGCTGAAGATCCTAGTGGGGTTCCTCACCAGACAGCTGTGCCAAATACTCTATCACACAAATGTACCTGCAGCACTTCTGAGTTGGAAATGTTGGAAAGAAGTTACTCTGTATGCTGGCTTAATACATGTCCTGTCTCCTGTGTTCCATTCTTGTGGCCTAGTTTAGGTGTGGGGTGAGAAGATCCTGAAATGTGGATGGGTCCTAGGCAGGCTGAAGTGTTGGAAAAGCTTTTGTAGAGTCTCCAGTAGCTCTGGCAGCTCTGCCTTGGAGTTATCAGCTCAATTCAGAGCTGCTCTGATTCTGACACAGGTTCTCCAGTGCTGTCATGCAAACTCCTATCAGTTTTATCTGATTTTAAGGAAACCGTCTGTTCTTCAGGACTTATGCACCCTTTTGTTAAAATGCTCCTCAACAGCTGGGGTACCACAAAATAGGAGATTTTAAGTCCTTTTACTCCACAGGCAGTTGGGTTAGTGGGTGTGACGAGAGAAGTTGAACTTCTGCTGTGCTGCTGTGCGAAGGAATGTAGTCATACTGTGACTTCAGTACCAGAACATAGATGTTTGGTCCCTTCTTCTGTTCATCCGTCCTGTCCTGGAGGCTGTCAGTAGAACACAGGGGAGCAGCGGGTTTAAATCTCAAATCCATTGTTTTGGTGCTGGCAATTCCAGGCCTCTTTTCCCCTTCTTGAGCACATGTGCAATATTCCCGTCTGCGCTGGAGTCTTCTCTCCGCTATGGAGCAGCGTCCTGGCGCTGTCCCTGTTAAAGCATCCAAAACCACGATGTGGCTGGGTGCGAGCTACCTGGTGACTTTATCCAGCCAAATCTATCCACATCGTTTGGGCCTCAAGACAAGCCACCAGCGTTTTATTGCCTTTTTATTTGCACTTTATTTTCTTCTCTCCTGATTGTGTTTTACTGAGGAAGCGTGTTCTGTGGAGGGGCTGGGTGAGTGGGCAGCTGCTGTAACAGGCATCTCACTAACCTAGCCTTTTGCTTAGGCACCTTCTGTCGAGGGGAATTGGAGTACACAGGGCAAACTTTTTATTTATTCAGCTGCCCATAAGAACTTGATTGTAAATAAACCTGTGTTCTGCTTTTAAAAACCCCACAATGCTCTGATTCATTTGTGTGTGTGTGTTTGTGTGTTAGATGTTCTGAATGAGCAAAGGGTGGGAACAGAAATGTCTCTGTGCTGCTTTCCTGATGAAACGTAGGCTTGGGTTCAGCCGCATTGTGGGATTTGGTGTAAAGGGGGAAAGAGGATAATGCTCTTAGCTTCAAGCTGGACATCCAGCAGGTACAACCTTGTTTTGCCCTGTCTCAGGAATGTTGTCTCGAGACTGAAGGAAGTCTCGTCACATTAAACAAGTGCCGCTGTCCTTGAAAGGTTGAAGTATTCTTGAGTGTTTTGGATGTGTTGCTGAATTGCAGAAATTACTTGTATTTCGGACACTTCTGAGAATAGAAGGCTATTTAAACTGTGGTGCTTTGACTGCTACCTTCTTAAATTTTTAATCCTGTGATAGGAGTCGCATGCTTTGGAGAACACAAAACCCCTTGTTGAATAATGCTCTGGTTCCTAATTCAGAGCAGTGAGGGAAAGCCTTCAACTGCTTTTGGTAACATACAAACATCCAGATACACCCATAAGCTCTCGCTGACCACGCTCCTTTTGATAAGAAAAAGAAGCCTTCTGGCCAGCTCTTGGAAGTGAGAACTACAACAAAAAGGAGAGACAAAACACTATCCCCAGGCATTTCTGCAGACAGTGCTTTTCCCTTCCGCCCATTGCTGTGGCAGAAAGCCCTTCTCAAAAGGCACCTACCAAGAGGCCAGGTGACCCTGGGTTACTGCAGGAAAGCAGATCACTAAACGACAAGTCAGCATGATGAAAGATTATTGGGAGATTAAGCTAATTAATAAAATCTCGGTAGGCTCTTCTGAGAAGGATCAGAATGGGTTTAGGACATCTATCATTCAGGCTGCTACACTTGTATTTTTCTACAACATGGACATATGTTCTTAAACAAAAGGCTTCGTTTTGCCTGTTGATGCTGTTATGAAATAGGTTAATATTCAACAATCTCAAGGATAATGGCTAGCTAGCTAAAACCTTAAGCAGTGTAAGTGGAAATTCTTTAGGACCATGGTTTCTAGGAAATTCCAGTGACCAATCTCAGCTTTTTTATTTTGCTATAGTTTTTAATTTTATTGCTCGCTCTTCTGGTTCAACCTGCAGATGGAAGAAGAGAAAATGAAGGTACCTGCTGCGCAGAGGCTGTCACGCTGCACTGCTCCTCTGCTAAAGGTGGAGCTGCACTGCAAGTGGTTGTGGGTAGGGGGAGATACCTTTCTTCAGACACACAAAGCATTTGTGTTATGGGGCAGCTAGTTCCAAGCTGTCTTGGAGACATGTGCCCGCATCTCCCAGGCCCTCAGAGGAGTAGTAACAGGAATGCCCTCCTGGAGGACTGATCATCTTGCAGTGCCAGCAGCACAGACTCTTAACTAACTCACCTTTTTGCATTGGTACTGCGTGACTGAATATAATGGGTTAATTTTGTGGGGGTAATTTGTGAGGCCTCTTCTCTGCCACCTACAGACAGGATCTAGCTTTCCTTCAAGAACTCACGTGAATTTCCATGTTTTAGGGCAGGTTGCTTTTTGTTTGCCAGAGCAGTCAGTAAGCTCCCCAGATAATCCACCTCTAGGTAATAAAATGTGGTAAGAATTTTTGAAAACACTGACAGAGCTGAGGAATGCTTGTTCTGCATTCATTTTTTTTATTTAATTTGTGTATAGGGGCCTCTACATTCAGGCAAATGTTGGTGATTGTTTGCACAAAGCAAGCTTGATCTGTGACCACAGGATTGTGGGCAGTGGAGGGTGCTATTCGCGCTGGCAAATGGCGAGGGCATGACATGATGTTTGTAATCAAATTAAGAGATGCAGCCCAGAGAAAAGCTACAGCTGTTCATGGAGCTTGCAAAACAAAAACTGCATGTTGTGTAGAATATGAAGACCAAAATCACTTTGGGGGGGAGGGGGGGAGAGGGGGAGCATTCTTGAGACATTCTTGGGACATTCATGAACAGTAAAGCTAAACTGATCAAACTTAAAGTTTGTGTGTTTTGCATCCTCGGTGCTGAGCTTCACTTTTTGCAAGCAAATTGAGGAGAGGAGGTGTACTAGCGAGCAATGTATTTCCCAACAGCAAGCCAATGGGGTGTTGGTGGAGCAGTAATAGATAAGCTGCCTAGTGATAGAATTAATATATTGTTCATAATGTTTGGCAGCCCTTTTTAATGGCATGTGTTTATAGATAGTTTGTAAAACAGCAAACTAACTCCCTTTTTCATAAACAGCTCTCCTTTGTTTAGCTCCTTATCAGGCTGGGTGACTTGCAACCCTAGGAAGGAGAAGATAGAGGAAGAGCTTTAGAATAAAGCTGCTTTCAGTAACCACCCTGTTCTATGTAAGTCTGCAGTCTTACAAAGCATGTGATGATGACATTGTAGACCTGTTCATTGACGATCTGGGCTTCCTTAGGTAATGCTTTATGTTGCTGACTTAACCACTTTCCAGTTGAATCTTAGGCCAGGTACAACATTTGCTGTTGGAGGGGGATTAATTCTTGAAATCCTGGAAGGACGCAACTAGAGACGTGCTTTCAAATCCCCTACAAATTGTCTTCCTTCTTTGCTAAGAGGTTAGTGATTTTCTCTGGTCGATGCGAAGAAGCATAGGACACAACTGCGTGGAAAAATCATCTTTCTTCAGTGGTTTAAGAGTTCACGGCTTTGTCCTGTGGCAGCTCCTGTGGCGTTTGGAACACAGCAAGGTATTTAATGTTATTTGATGGTTTGTTTTTTGGGTCTAGAGCGTGAATAGGGTGGCTGTTTGACCACAAATGATACTCCAGACTTGGAAAACCTACTTACATTTCATAAAATACAGATTCTCAAGCAGGTGTAATGCCTGCCTCTGATCTCCACCTTACAGTTCTTCAAGCAGTCTAAGGGAAGTAGTTCCTTTTTCTGCAGCATAGAATTTGCAAATACGCTATAGAAACTGTTTCTACTCTTGAAACAGTTTTAGAATGGAAAAACAAGTAGGAAACCTGAATGGAGGAAAACTGCAAGCAGTGATACACAGACCAAAGTAGGCTGATTCCAACAGTGTACAGAAGGGAACAAATAAAACACGTGAAGCATCATTCTTTCCTGATGCTGCTTCTCAGCTTCAGTGTACTACAGGGTTAGGGTTGCACCTGGATCATCCTGTCCAACATGTGTCAAAAACCTTTTCCCTCTCAATGTCTAATCCTGTGAATCTATTTACCTTGTTGATTTCCAGAGCCTTCTGCAGTAACACATTGTACTTTTGTATCTTGTGTTATATGGGTAAAAGATTCATTTAATATTAAATTTACTGTCAACTTAATTGGATGTTGCTAGTTTTTGACTTAAGACTAAGTGAAAAAAGTCTCCATTTTGTGCCACTCAGGTTTTCTGCACCTCTTTTTTGACATCTCTCCTGCCCTTTTGGTCCTTCCACTCACTTTTTTTTTTTTTTTTTCCCCTGAAGAATCTTATTCCAACTTTTTGCTTTGTTTTTCAGTGCAAGCTGTTCCTTATGCCCTGGTTATACTTGTTACCTTCCTGGGCAAGTAGCTGGGCTGTTATATTCTTAAGGTGCTTTCTGATTCAAATTCAACGATACTCCGAAAGCGATGGCTTACGTTCAGTTCTGATTTAGGAAATTTACAGTGGTAAAGATGAGTTCTCATGTTGGGTTTGGTCTGACTCTTTACCAATGTATACCACCTTTCTGGGTCTAAACATGCTGGCTCCAAGATGCTGATACATCAGGGGTTCTAAAATGGCATAAACAACATTCTCTGTTGTGCTCTTGGTTAATTTCCTAATAACTTTTCTGATTACGCCAAGGCTTTCTTCCTGCGTAGTAACAACTCTGACTGTACATGTCGGACTGGTTGCATTTTCCTTGTGTGATACTTTGCACTTGCTGTCATAGAAGAATATTTGGTATTTTGGTGTATATCTGGTCTCTTTCATGATGCACTCCTCCAACTTAGCACAGACAACTTTTTGACAATCAAAGGTGGTTTTCTATTTGTGGGCAGACTATTTGCTCCTTATCTAGGCTTTTTTGCATTCATTCATGACTACGTTCAATAGCAAATGTCCCAGGTCAGATGCTGCTGTGCCATTGTCTACTTGCAATGGTGAAAATTTGAAAAACCCAGAAAGTAGCCAAAACTCACAAGTGCTGATATTATTTCCTAGATTTTATTCAATTGACTGAGATTGAACTTTCTTCTTATCTCAATTTAGAGCCTCTGATGACAAGTCTTGATGTACCTTCCAAAAATTGAAGTACTTTGTGTTGATCAGATTACCTTTACCTTTACTCTTGCAGACTTTTTCACAAACTGTGTCTGCAAATCCCTGTAAAGGCCAAGCTATCTCTCTCTCTTACTCCCATATATTTTCAGTTGGTCTACTGAATTTTTGAATTTGACTTAAAAATGAGTTCTAGGTCTTCTGCAATGTTTCTGAAGAGCTGTTTTTAAATAGATTTCATTTTAGCAGTTCCTTGTTTGTTTTTTTTTTTTTTTTTTTTTTTTTTTTTGTTTGTTTTCAACAACAAAAAAAAAAAGCCCACCATCTGTGCTGCACTTGAATACCCGTTCAAATAGTCCATTTGGTGAACTATGCCATGGGAGTAGAATGCTGTACCCACCAGGTGTAATTACAGTTTTATCTCATCCACATATCCTTTTTTTTTCCCCTCTGAAATTTCTCCCAGGACCCTTTGGGGCAGAAAAGCTTCATTCATCCACGGTCACATACCCATCTTTGGCCATGAGCTGCCCTGAGTCTCAAAAGACAGGGAAGAATGCTGGTTCCCCTCCAAAACAAGTTATCTTCAAAAAAAGCAGCCGTGACAAAGCTGTAAGTACCATAATCATGTGTCTAAGTAGGTATGGATTTCAGTTGTAGTCAGGCTGGAGACATTACAAATCTTTCCTGCCTTTTTTTTTTTTTTTTTCTGAAGAAGAACCATGATCTGTGTTTAGTGCTAATTTTGAAAGCACGATGTAAACCAAGTTTACAGTAGGTCTTGCATAGGAAGGCAGCTCCCCTCTCACTCTTCCTAGGTTGTACTCCTGCTGGTAAATGTTTAAAACAAAGCTGATGCACTATGTTTCTGATAGCATAAAAAATCTTTAAATCCATAGTTCTTTATCCAATCCCAGGAGTATTTCTGTTGTTCTTCTACACATTAGGTCCTCTCTTCTGAAGTCCTGAAACATGTGAATAGGAATGTTGTCTTTTGGGGATTGCATGTTTGTTGGGGGAAAAAAAGTAAAAGTTTAGAATGGAATGGTTCTCTAGAAGATTTCCAGTGCCACACCATGTTTTCCATTCTGCCCATCCACCCCCTGTCCAAATCATCAACACTTTGAATTTCAACCATGTGCTATTTCTCCCTACAGCTGACCATCTACCTGGGAAAGCGTGACTTTGTTGACAACATGGGGACTGTGGAACCTGTAGGTAAGTCCACAAGCGTACATGCTATCCTTTCTGCTCTCTTAACCCTGATTATCCTCTGGTAATCTTTCTTTTTTTTTTTTTTCCTTTCTTTCAGATGGTGTTGTATTGATAGATCCTACAATGCTCAAGGGGAAACAAGGTTTGAGAGTTTATGCAACATACGTGTTGGAGATCGTACTGTTACAGCAATGCAAAATGGTTCTAATATAGCTTCCCCAATGAATGGGCTTCTTACTCAACGTAACATATGTTCTTGTACAATGCAGTTAGGATTCATACCATGTATAACAGTGTTAAAATGGGTTTCCGTGACTCTAGTGCAGGATTTTACTTCCCACCCTGGCTATGTTGTTAGTCTGCTGCATGCTTTACCTGTCATTTGCTTCTTTCCAGTGTACGTGACCCTGACCTGTGCTTTCCGGTATGGCCAGGAAGACATTGATATCATTGGCCTCACCTTCCGACGGGACCTGTACTTCTCTAGGGTCCAGCTGTACCCAACCACTGACAAGCCAGACTCTCTCACCCACTTGCAGGAATCTCTGTTAAAGAAGCTGGGGAAAAACGCCTATCCCTTTTTCTTTACAGTGAGTATCCTGTAAGAGCCTCTGACCCTCTCCTCCTTGTCTTCTATCACTGGGCTGTTGACACTCAGTGAGGGACTGAAGACAAGGATTAATATTAAGTTCATATTAAGTGAGGCTCAAATTTTGAGGAAAAGGCAATGTTTTGTTTTTTTTGTTACCAAGTGGTAAACTGCAAGAATATCCAAACTGTCCTAACCGTGTGAAATGTACTTGTAAGAGGCAAGGAGTTTTGCAATGGCTTTATGCTAGCTGCAGCTCTAAATATCCATGTCTTCCCAATTCTGGGGAGCTGGAATACTTTATACCATTGCCACGTTGCTTACAAAGGAAGTGTCAAATTCTTTCTTTAAAAAAAAAAAAAAAGTTTTTTTTTTTTTAATCAAACAAACAAATGAAAAGCTTGTTACCAGACATTGTAAACAGCTTATTGCCAAATTCTGAATCTGACAGGATGTGCTTCCAGCACTTTCACTGACATGTCTGCCTTAGCATTCCTTAGGAAGATCCAGGTTTGAAAACCATATATTCTGAAAAAAACAATAAATAAGAATAAATAAGTCTTTGAATCTGCTCAGTGGATAGTTACCTGTCCTCTGTTGCTGACCACTCAAATACAACCCAGTGATCTCCAAACTGCTGGATTCTCTGATGGGGTGTTGCACTCCACGTCTCCATGAGCTGCTCTGCAGTCTTCCCAGCTGATGTCTGAAGTTGCTGGCCCTGCCTAGTCCAGAAACACTGGCTGGTGGCTGGCTGGTCTTTGTGGCTTTAGCCATGTTTCCAGAATGGAGAATGCTTTCTCAAGCTTCAAGCCCATGTGAGCAGTGATGACTGGTACTGCTGTGAGCAATGTTGATGATCCTGGGTGGGGAGCCACGTGTCCCAGCTTCTAATCTGAGCGGTGCCTCTAGAGCTTAAATTTTAGCCCAGGAGCTTCACGTGTCTGAATTTTTTTCTTTTTACTTTTTGTCATTTTTTTCTTGGCTCTTTATGTTTAACCCCTCTCTTCCACAAAGACTTTGTTACAGGGTTAGCATAAGGTTCAGCTTCTGTCTCAGTTGAAACTTCAAAGGACTGCTGTATTACTGCAAGTGGCCTGTTGTCCTTTTGTAAGCAGCAAGTTCATTAGAATATCACAGAGTTGGAAATCTGAATATTGCTTTGGGTTATTTTTCTCTCCTTGTTCCCACAGTTCCCAGATTACCTGCCTTGTTCAGTCTGTTTGCAGCCTGCACCTCGTGATGTCGATAAGGTGAGACAAATGAAACACTTGTGCTTATCATGGTTGAGGATGTATGGAAAACATCATGTGAATTTATTTGGCTAACTTGAGAGAGGAATAAGTTGATACTGGGGTTTGTTGTGCTATGCCACCAATGTCAGGAACCTGACTCTTAAGAGCTGCAGTGTGGGTCACAGAGTCGGAATTTAATTCCTCACAATAAGAAAAGGAATCTAGTTCAATAGCTGCAAGACTGTGCTAAATCTGCAATGCTTGTAATTTCATTAAGGGTACCACATGATTTGTGGGTTGGACACACATAAAATGACACACAAAAATGTCAGGCAGGCTTCTAGATCCCTATAAATAGCATGTGTTAAGATCTCCTTCTGAATTAAAACAAATACAGAAATGGGCTGTTTTACACATGTGTGTAAACAAAACAAAAGTCCTGGAGGAAAAAACACTAAATAATGAGATGTTCTGCAAGGTTTCTGACAGCATTTAAAATAGTCCTTTTGTACTTCCCGGGATGCTTCTCTGAACATCTGGGTTAGACTAAAACCAGGCAAGATGGGATGCAAGTTGTAGCATGCAGTGCCACAAGGACAAGCTATGTGTTTTGGAAGGATTGATATTGTAGCAAAATTTAATATATTTCTCTGAAGTTATCTGGGACTCTTGCAGATGTCCCATGGCAGTGTTGAAGACGACTTAAAGCAAAGATCAGCTTGGCCTGATCACTCCCAGCCCTTAGACACCAGGAAGTAAGAAGCTTGACCCCAGTCAGGTATTGGCAGTATAAAGCAAATTCAGAAACTCAGGGTGGACTGAAGAGCCTTGCAGCCTGGTCAGTGTTATCTCCTGTAGCATGCTGTGACCTCTCCAACAGTGCTCTCACAGAAAGCCTTTTAGTAGTAGGGATGTCGTTTGTCAGAGGTTGGGAACTAAGCCTTATTTATCAGAAGGAGCATGGAATAGGTGAGTGCTGCCACACCAGTTAGTAAGGGTTTGTTACAATGGTTGGAGGCCAGAAGAATTTGCAGTTGGCAGGAATCTGCCAGTTTCTAGTGTACAGGAAGAGGTTTGAACATCTGCAGATGTTCTTGGCTCGTTACACTGATTTCTTTCTCTCTGGCAGAGCTGTGGGGTGGACTTTGAGGTGAAAGCTTTCTCAACAGAGAATGTGGAAGAGAGAATTCATAAGAGGTAATAAAATACATGTGTCTGTCTGTCTTCAGCTGTTCTCTCTTAAAGAGGGTCAGAATGTTCAATAATGCACCATGGTTGCTTGTTCAGCTTTGTTCCACTTGTCAGTGGACTTCCTGAGCATAAGCACGTGAGTGCAAAACTCCTGCCTCTGCCAAGCACAACGTACCTGTTGTCTTCTGCTGCTTCTCAGGAACTCTGCACGCCTATTGATCCGAAAGGTGCAATATGCTCCAGAACAGCCAGGACCCCAACCTTGTGCAGAGACCACGTGGCAATTCTTCATGTCCAACAAGCCGTTACACTTGAAAGCTTGCCTCAGTAAAGAGGTGAGGAGTTTGCCCCTGGGGTATGGACATCATAGTATTTCAATACCAATATGTGTTTTGCTGCCTAAAGCAGCTATTTTGTGTGTTACCCAGCCTCTGTCTCAGCTGAGACTGACTTGCCTTACCGCTGGACGGTTTTAATGTCGCTTTTGTCAGTAGCTACTGCTGGGGGAGCCTGGGACACTATTATCAGCCATTGGAGACAAAATCATTGAAAAAAGGGTCATGAGTCCTTGGGAAGGGTCACCTTGCCTTATCTCGTCTCCGTGAAGGAGATTGAATTTGTGTGGACTGGAGTGGTATAGGGCCTGGGAGAAACCTCCTGACTGGGTTTCTGAGCACTGAATTCCCCCTAGGTGTACTACCATGGCGAGCCCATTCCAGTCACTATCACAGTCACCAACAGCACAGAGAAAACCGTGAAGAAGATCAAAGTCACGGGTAAGTTTTTACTGTTATTTAGGATTCTCTTAGGAATCCAAGATTCTTTGGTGGGAGGGCTGAAAGAGCTAGAATTTAGTGCTTGTAACTACTTAAGCAGGCAGCATGGGGTGCGTCAGGAATTTGTTTAATCCACCCTCTCTGTTGCTGTTTCTTTGCTGCTGTTCATCAAGTGAAACACTGCAGCCTTTTTCCTGACTCATGGTTACTTACATGGCTTAATTTCAGGCATCTGTATGTACAATCTAAGCAGGAAGGGACAAACACTTATGGTAAGCAAGACAGGCACTGTGGGGTAATCTACTTCTTTGGGAGGCTGGTGGGAAGAGCTCCCCGGTCAGTGGGATGCTAACAGTAAGCGTGCCTAGGTTGTGTACAGCTTTGCCTGGGGCTTCAGCAATGTTTGGCAATGTGAGGAATGGCCACTCTGCCAGTGATGGTGTAATTCCTCCTGAGGAAGCTGAGGGCAGGGCCTGAGTTTCAGATGAGTTTCAGTACTGCCTGTGCTTTATTTGTAGGACTGCTTGTTTTCGTCCCACAAACCCTGTTGCTCTCGGGCCTGGGGAAGACAATCTGAGAAACAAAGGATGAGAGAGAGAAAAGAAAGCAGGAAAGGAACAAAGTAGCTGAGGGTCTTGTAGCCAATTCAGTGCCAGTCTTGCATGCACTGTCTAGTAACTCCCAAATAATTTTTTAGGTTGGCACACATCTGCCTGTCTTAAAAAGACTTTGTTGTTTCGGATTCTCTCATCAGTGTTTCAGTCAAAACTACCATGTCCTTTCTGGTGTTAGATTAGGACTGGAGAATACAAACCACTTGTTGCCACAGGATCCTGACTGTAGTTTGGTATCCTGTCTGCTTGATACTGGCGTCTCATGAATGCAAATGCATAGGCTATAGAAACGCAAGAGATACCAGTGACCAGAGGAGAAAGCAGACACACTTAGAGAGGGAGATCTTCATAATGGAAAGAGCAGGCTCCCCTAGGAAACCATGAGCTGCTGGCTTTGTCATCTGCAAATCAAGGCTGGATGTGTTTCAGGCAAGACAGAGACCAGCAACACACAAGTGGCCAATGTCTATCCAGATCAGGCTTCCTTACCTGGTGATCCCTTCAGGCTCTAAATGTATGGATTTTTCTGCTGTCTTTGTGTTTTCCACTCCTGAGATTCAGTGGGGCAGCTATGTTGTTTCTGATTTGTACGCACAACTAATTGTCCCTTTTCTTCTTTCTCCCCAAGTGGAGCAGGTTGCCAACGTGGTTTTGTACTCCAGTGACTACTATACAAAAGTGGTGGCTTCTGAGGAAGCACAGTGAGTGAATATTCTGCTTATCCATGCTTGCTATACTCCTTCCTTCCTCTTAATTACCCTCCTCAGTTACGGGAGGTGCTCCTAACCGTAGTCTGGCAGTTGCTGCCTGTTACAGTGCTCTCTTTGCCTTGTGTGTGTGTCTTGACACCAGCTGTAGTCGATGCAGCTGCTCTCCTTTTTGTATAGCCAGCAGATACCCTTCTCCTTTTTTCAGAGATTGGGGGAGGTTGCAGAAAAGCTGTTTTGTTTGAAGAGTAATTACCTACTAGAAATGCTTAGCAGGGCCTATGTATGGTTCTCCATTGGTTGAAACCTTTAAAGGGAGCTGCAACATTTTTCTGTGCTGCTGTTTGCCTGGAAATGCTGGATGCTCTAGCTTGGTGTCAGTCTTTTTCACAACACTTCACTTGGTTTCTGCTAGCCTTAGCTCACAAAAACCTCTGGGACTGTTGATGGTGTGGAGAACCCCTTGCTGTTATGCCTTGCAGTGTGTTGGCAGTGCAGCGTTGAACTTTGCTCTGTGAGGAGGGTTGGGTACACCCATACATTTGTATTTTTCTGTTGTTTTTTTTTTTTTTTCCTCTGTATCTTGGGGGCATCTTTTCCTTTTTGTACCGGTCTTCTAAACTTGGATTCATTTTGTCCAAATGTAGAGGTCTGCAGCGTAGTTTGACCTACTTCTAGATGTATGCCTTAATGTGAAATTAATGATTTTCTGCAAATGCTTGTTTGATTATGAAGGAAACTTTTCTGACTAGTTCAGATGTAGACATCTAAATCTGGACAGATAAATACGGCTCCTTGTGGATCCTTTGTAATCTGCTCTGAAATTACCCTAGTTGGGTTTGTAAGGCAGATCAGAGTGTATTGCTTTCCCTCTCACCTCTCTTTATTTTCAGGGAGAAGGTGCAGCCAAACAGCAGCCTGACCAAGACACTGACAGTTTTGCCCTTGCTAGCAAATAACCGGCAGACCCGGGAAATAGCCCTGGATGGAAAGCTAAAGGATGAGGACACCAACTTGGCTTCTAGTACCATGTGAGTGGTTTTAAGTGGTCCCAACTGGTAAAGGGTATAAAGAAGAGGGGAGAATGGAGGGAACTGAACTATCAGATGTTTGTATCTGTCCTGATGGGTCCATCTGATTGCACGACCTACCCATCATAGCCGTTCAGGCTAAAGTGTGATCACAGATCTGGAGAGGTATTGGCTGTCCCTAAGGCTCTTTTGCTCCATTGTTTTTAGGAGAACAAAATGTTCATCTAGTTCTTATTCCTGCCACGTACTGCTGCTCTGTAGCCGTACTGCCTAACACCTCTTTGTTTTCTCTGGTAGTATTAAGGATGGAATAGACAAGACAGTGATGGGGATTCTCGTTTCCTACAAGGTCCGAGTGAAGCTCACTGTTTCAGGGTAAGAGTACCAGACTTCTTGCTACATCTGTTTAGAGTTAGGAGAGGGAAGTGTGTGTACCCCATTGACTAGTGGGGAGAGGGTGGGACACTCCACCATGAGAAAGGGTGTATGTTGTAGGGATATTAGGTTAACTCTAAAGCATGAACTTCCTTGAAATTGTATATTTCTGGCCTAAAAAAAAAAAAAGTTTTCTTGAGGCAGAGGTATTGGATTACTTTCCTTACCTATAGAAAGCTAAGCTTTTTTTTTTTTTTCTTTTTAAGGAAAGCTATGGTAAGACTTTGGCCACATGACCAGAGGTTGAATTAGGAACCTGTGGTTTGCAATACAATTTTATTTCATTGCTATAATTTTTTAGTTTGTGAAGGCTTAAGTGAAACTGTGTGTGAACCTTTGTTGGTGCTTTTGTTCTCCCAGAGCAGAAGGTAGGAGCAAAGGAGCCTTCCTAACACTTGATCGGGGGTTCAGGAACTTACTCTTTCACTGTGGGAAGGATATGAAAAATGAAAGTCACTTTTTTTAAAAACAAGTGTATTTGGAGGTTAAGCTTTGAGGCGAGTAAGAATATACGAGGGAAGTGATCTCAATAGTCCACCAGTAAAACACTGTTTGCTAGAGTACCAAAATGGGAAGGCATTAAATATGCTTATATATTTCTTGTCTTCTTCCATAGTATGCTGGGAGACTTCACCTCCAGGTAAGCATCCTCTTTTCAGACCATGTAGCCATAGCTCTTATTTCATCTTCTTACCCTCTTACTCTCCTTCCCACCTCCCTAACTATTCCCTAAGCTGATCGAAATAAGAAATATGCAAGTTCAGCTGTGAAAACGATGCAGTTGCAAAAATGCATCAAATTTACATGCACGCAATGTTCAGCACGTAATAAACCCAGCTTGTTAGGGTGGATATGCATGTGTTCTGTGTTTCTTTTTTTGTGCAGAAATCTGAGCTTAACTCTTTTTGAAGGGGGAGTTAGGATTAGAAAAAAGATGAAAGAATGAGTAAATTCGGAGTTGAAGGTTTGGGCTGGCCTGAGCTGGGAGGGAGACTGAACCAGGAATGACTGGGGCTGTGGATCTGACGCATTCTCTCTTCTCCCCAAAGTGAGGTGGGCACAGAGCTGCCGTTCCGTCTCATGCACCCTAAACCTGAGGAAAAGAACCCAGCAGGTCAGTTGTGCCTCATTTTTGCCTGTTTTATTGTCTCAGATAAGTTCTTACCATTGCTATGCTTGCAGACAGTTAGCCTTCAGTGTCTGGAAGCCAGCACTGGGGGCTGCTGCATGTGTGTGGTAAAGAAAACCTCAAAGCACAGTGTAAGAGGGAGAAGGGATGCTGAGATGGAATAAGATAAAAGTGGGTCATGTTCCCTTTGTCTTTCATCTGTGGAATCACAACTGAAAGCACAGGGACTCAGGGAAGCACAGCACAGTTAAATCTCATGACTGCTGTGCAAAATGCCCTGGATGCAGCTGTCAGCAGTTCCTATCCAGATTCTAATATAGCAAATGAGAATGTCACAGAAAATGCCCAAGACACACAACGCTACAAAAAGCAAAATATTTCTAAGCAAAGTTATAAGGTGATAAAACCACTGGGGATTTTACAGTGTCTCTCTTATGTTTACATGGCATTGGCCACAGTGTCTGAGGTGTGGCCTTTAAGTTCAGTTTGTGTATAGGTATTTGAGAGGAATGTCTCTTCAGAATTAGGTCAATAAACACAAGTATGACAACTTTAAAGCTGGCAGGGATCCTGCCTGAAGGTTAACAACCAACTTGCTGTCTTGGTTGTTTGTTTAATAAATAAATAAATAAATATATCATGGCACAGTGTAAGGAGCTACCTTTCCCAGGGAATATTAAATCTTAGGAGTGGATGCCAAGTCTTTAGGTTATCTTGAGCGTTTGTCTTCCTGCTTCCTCAGTTCCTGACTGGCTCTGTTCTGTAATGGTGAACCTATGGAAACTGCAAAGTGCTTAAACTAAATCAGTTCCTGTGCAGCATCTGGGGCAGCTATTGAACACACAAGATTATGCCAGCTTTCACTGTTGGGATTGTTCTGTGTGAGTCACCTTGTCCTACCATCTGTGTTTGGATGGAGTTGTGTAGGCTTCAAACATAAAACCAGGGCTGCTTCTGCACTGCAATTTTTTCCCCATTTGGCTAAAACTTACCTAAAGCCTCTGTATTTAAGAACACAACTGCTAGAAGATGGAGGAGCCTGTGAAAGGAGTTACCCAGGATAGGTTCTGTGTTCTGTACTGGAAGCATTAGAAAGGGGTGATTTAGTCCCCGTTGTGTTAAATGGGTTGCATTAAACACAGCAAAGCCAGCTGGTCAAAAAAGGTGATTCTCCCACTGTATTTGGTGGTGGTGCAGCCTCACCCTGAATATTGTGTACAGTTCTGGCTCCACAACATAAAAAGGATGTTAAGCATCCAGAGGGGGGGCAACAAAGCTGGCAAAAGGGCTGGAAGACAGGTCCTGCGAGGTGAGGCTGGACACTTGAGTTGTCTAGTCTGGAGAAAAGAAGGCTAGCAGGAAACCTCATTGCTCTCTGCAGCTCCGCAGGGAGGGGAAGCAGAGGGAGGTGCCGGTCTCTTCTCATTGATAACTGATGAAAGAACTTGAGGGAATGGCATGGAGCTGCACCAGGGGAGATTCAAATTGGACAATAGGAAAAAAATCTGTAATATGAGGGTGGTCAAACACAGGAATAAGCTCCCCAGCAAAGTGGTGCTTGCCCCATGACTCTCGCTATACAGCTGCACGCAGACTGCATCTGCTTCCAGAAATCAGGTCCTCAGGGCTGGTCTCTAGGGCTCAGAAAGTTGGACCACGCTGGGGGAAGCTGCCATGGGGCAAATGCTGCTGTTGGCACAGCTGTGCCTGTGCCGTGGGCTTCTGTTCCATGTTGTAGGCTGGCAAATCTCTGCTGCTCGCTTAATCGTGATCTTAAGTGGGGATTCGTGGTAGGAGAGCAGCTTTGGAAAGGGTCTTCGTGGCTGTTCTGGTATCTTGCACATACTGAAGTATTTCCATCACACTTTCCTGCAGGAATTCCCCTGCCTACAGGCTTGGTGAAGGCCAGGGACCTTTTTGGTGCTGGTGGCCCCAGGAGAGGTGGCTGGTGAGGGCCATCTAGTGTCCACAGGGAGCCTCGCGTGGTGGAGTTGCTGGGGGAGGCAGCTCAGAGCTGCAGAAGTCTGGAGCTTTCATGGATCCAGAGAAAAGCTTGAAAACGTTAAACAAGGACTATTTAGAGGCTCAGGGGACTGTAAAGAATTCTGTGTATATTTTTAGAACGGTGTGGATTTTTTTGGACGTGACACCATGTTTCGGTGTTAATGCAGCAACCCCATTTCTGTTTCCTGTGCTTCAGGCAGATCATTTTAGCAGAAGCATTTGTAGCTTGAGGAAGGATGGAAGTCACTTCTCCCTTCGAAGATCACTTCGAAGGATGGCTGGTATACTCTTTTATATAGTACGCTCAAAAGGATGTGGGCAGAAGACTTATAAAGGAAATGGAAAACTTTAATATTTCTCAGATCACTTCCCCCAACACATCCTCTTACCAAAGGTGCAGCCCACATACATGTATTGTTTACTACATCAAAGTCCTTCTAGGAGCTTTCTGTCAGAAGACAGCTGTGGTTCGTGCATTTTCTTCAGATGGAAATTGCAGGTTTCGGGTAACTCGAAAAAGAAATGCAGTTAGTTCCAGGAGCTATCCCATGGGAAAGCCCTACAAACAGTTAACTGGAGAAATAAATGCTTTCTCTTCAAACAAGAAAACTAACACAAAAGAAAATTTCTCTGAAGCCTGCATAACTGATTTGAAAACTGTGCTGGAGTGTGGTGTCTCAGCTCATTACAGGGAATAAAAGAGCCTCCCGAGTGAAGATGGTAAACTAGAGCTCTTACTGGCTTTCTGTGTCCTGTGCCTAATCACCGTTTCTAATTGTGAGTTCATGTTTTGGAGATGCAGTTTTTATTCTACCACCTTAGGTCATAAGCTCTGAAAAATCAGATGTGCTTCATTAGTGAAATGACATCCAATTTGGAATCGAGCAAAACAAGACTTAATTGCAGAGATGGAGCTTCAGCAAACAGTGTTTAGGCTCTTAAAGGCCCCACAAGATATAATTTTGTTTTGATGGCTTGTTCAGCAGCCTCTGCAATGGGTGTAGGAAAGGGTGCCTGCACAGGGAATTTTGAGATCACTCCTTATCTTCTTTTTCCATTCCTTTTTGTTTTTACTGATGAGTCAGTAACCAATTTGTCCATTGCACCTCCCTTCTTACTTGACTGTCACTTAGGTTGCAGCTGGGAGAAAGGAAAAGTCACGGCTACAGTGGAATTAGAAATGTCACATACTGTGACTTTATGGCTTATTCGTTGCAGAGGGGTAATATCCTTTTCTCTTTCCTAGCCGAAGTGATTTATGGCAAAAATAAATAAAACGTGTAGCATCGGTGTATTTAATTGTGCAGGGCTAACTTGAGTGTAGAGAACCTCAGAACGTCAGAAAAAATAAGCTTCACAAGAACACAGCTTTATTTTGGGGGGCCAAATGGGGGCAAGTGTGATCAGCTGCACTGTGCTTTATTTCACAGTATATTCTTTACCCTTTTTATTTGTCCGTCTGCTCTGAAGCAGTCATCCCTCAGTAAAAAGCAGGTCTGTCAGTGCATGGCTCTTGCTGACTGCTTGCTCTTCCTTCTTGCTACCTTTCCTTTCCTATGTTTATTTATAGCTTCCTTGTCTTGGACTTCTTGCAGGCCAGCATTTGCATGCTACATGTGTGCTATTTTTGCAACTGTTTTTGGACCCATGTGTTTCACAGAGGGTTATTTTTAGGCAAAGCAGCTCCTGTCACATTGGCAGCCTGTCTTTTCTGCCTGTTGACAAGAATGGATATAGATCTGTTTCTTTTAAAGATAGAGTCAAACTGGGCCATGTCTCTTCATGCTTTCAAGATCTTTCCCTGTCAGCAGTCAGCCCAGCTCCTGCTGGGATTTTTTTCAAGGCTGTGCTCTTAGCGTGAGTTCTTTGGTCTGGGGTTTTCTTGCCCTTGTCTTGAGGTTTCACATTTTGTGGGCCTATGTCTTGTACACTGACCTTTGTTTTGGCTGTTATTCAACAAATAGTCATTTATCTGCTTCTTTGTTAAACTTGCATGAAAGGGTTCCTTCCAAGAAACCCATAAATACTGTGTCCCTCTAACATTAACGTTGGACTGATATTGTAACTTTCAGAAATTAGGGAATTCTCAAAGGGCTTGAATGTCTTGAAGTGTAAGATAACCTACTCTTTTTTTTTCCTTTTTTCTTTTCACCACGAAGCTAAAAGAGGTTAAAAGCAAGCTTATAATGAAAATTACCGTATGTCACAACTTTAATTACATGGAGCCATTCCTGTGGCTGCATAATAAAAGCTTATAGAAAACCCTCTGCAGAGGGTATGATGACGTTCGGGAGCCTCATCTGTCCTTGAACGCAGCCCCCTCCCATCCCAGCCCTCAAAATGATTGCTGGGATGCCAGTTAAAAATAAGGAGAAAAAAAAAAAAAAAAAGAACCTATTTTCAGATTCCTGAGACTTCTTCAATGTTTTAATGCCAAGTAAGCCATGGGACAGCACGATAACCCTGTGGAGTGGACATAATTCCTCCTAGAGTAGTAATACAGACATTTTAACAAGCCTATGGGGTGTAGTATAGCAGCCTGAAAGGAAAAGTGTCCAGGTATCTGTGAATGTAATCTGACATATAAGCTTTATGAGAAGTATTCCTATACTGCCACACTACCTGTGTATTGATACAGTAAGTACTTATCTGATAGAAAAGAACATGCCTTACTAAAGCAATACCTGTTTCTCCCCTCGTCCCATTCTGTAAAATCAACTTCAAACCACGCTGGTGGATGTTGTTCAGCTTTGCCCATATCATTAATGTCACTGTTCCCATAGTGACGAGTACACTCCAGAGAGGGGAAAGAGGGTGGACTATTTAAAGACTCTTAGTTGCAGGAAAATAAAATGACAACACTGCTGTATGTGTTGGAAACTTTTAAAACTTCTAAACGTTTCATTTTAAATCAATTTGAATCAAGTATGGGTGCACTGAGACTTTCCAGACTTCATCTTGGCCCCTGTGAGCAGAGGAAGCTATCCTTTCCGAGTCCGGATAAATACCATCATGAACACTTTTACGTGATCGGTCCTTTGAGGCATTTTGGCTACAGTGCCCTACTTGGCACGCTTGTAATGCTGACTTTTCCAGCAATGCTAATCACCACTTGTTGCCTTTGATTTCTGTGTGTTGTGGGTGGGAATTCTCCAGGTCACCCAATCACCAAGGCATCCCAAATCCCTGGTGACTTCTGGGGAACAATGGCTTTGATGCACTTTGCTCCCTCACTTAAACTCATGAGAAATAAGCCAGTGAAGCAACCGTTTCTTGCTAAAACTTAAGTAACTGTAAGAGCGAAACAATCCATGTTCCTGTTTCTTCACTGCAGCGTTGTCTGTTCTGCTTACTTCAGGCTGTGCTGAAACACCTTCCAAGGAATCCTACTAGCAAGCCTGAATGCTGTTTTGTTACAGTGTGGTTAGCAAAGATCCCATCAAAGGAACACGTTAAAGTCCCAGAGGTCTCGGGAGTATGTTCAGGCAAGGCTGAAATCAGTATTGCTCCTCGTGTGCATAATCTGCCTGATGAGAGGCCACCTAATCTTTTCTGTATTGCAGCCTCTGTTTGATTTCAGTACCTTCATGCTTATTGAATGAGAACGTCTTCTCATCAGCTGGATACTTAAAGCACAGTGACAGACCAGTTATAAGACTAAAGTCACGCAAGTGCTGTCATCTGAGAAGCGTGTGCACAGATGTTTCTCTCAGCTGTGACTGCTAGCAAGCAGAAATGGGAAAAATTTGTTCATTTCTCAGCCCTTCTGATGTCTTAGCAGCATTGCTGGGGTGCTCTTCCATTTGGGAGATCACGTTTTGCTTTGACGGGTGTATGCACATACATGTTGACGCTTTCCAGAATCCTTGTATTGCTGCAAATCCTGCTGCTTGTCACGGTTTTGTCTTGTTTATAAATATTTTGCTGGTTTTAGCATCCGTTGTTCTAACTATTTGCTGTATCTTTTTTCCTCCTTTACTGCATGCTGATGACTGCAGGGAAGGATGGGTAAGTTTCTTTTAATGGTATTCACAATCTAGCTGCAGCTGTGCATTGCCTCTTTGAAAGCTCCTCAAAATTGCTCACAAATCCATAGGGTTCACAGAGCATGAGCTTAAAAAATTAATGTGGCTTGACAAGTTATTGCTATCAGTTGAACAGCAATGACCGACCATGTGAAAGTCGCTTGAGACCATGTTTTGCCTGACAGCTGGACAGAAAGAGATGTCTGTGGTCAGCTGACGCTCTGTAGTTTTAGGAACTCAATAGGTTCAACCATGTGCCTATATTTTAAGCACAGAAGAAATAAGGATGAAAGGTTTCACATTTTAATTCAAGACAAAGACCCTTTCAAGCTGCGGACTATTCAGCTAGCTGGAATGAGCATGGTTCAGTGCAGGAGTTTCATGAAAACCTCCTCAGTTTGTCTCCTGCTTTGTTCCATTCAACTGCTTTTCCTACTAGCTTTTAGAATAGCAGCAACAAAGTTAGTATGTGTGGGAATATGATCCAAATCCCTTTGGAGACAAAAGAAACATCACCAGAGACTGTTCCAGGCTTTTCTTCTTCCTCCAGCACGTTGCCTTCAGTGTACTGGTATAAAAAAATGGCTGACATCATTTTGAAAGACCTGTGTTTCTTCCATTTCAGTGATGCAGAGATGGTATTTGAGGAGTTTGCTCGTCAACAGCTAAAAGATATGCCTGATGATGAAGAAAACAAGAACGTTTCCTCAACTGATGAGTGATGAAAACAGCAAGCTGCTAGAGAAGCTGTATAGTCTAGCATCGTTTAGAAATTTAGGACCTAGGTTCCTGGTAAACTGCATGTTCTGAGTGCATACATTGTCTTTCAAGGATCAATAGACGTAAAACCATGAATCTCTGTTGCTTACTAAAAGTTTTAGCTCCATAAAAGTGTAGCAAACTCAACACTTCGTGCTTACGCTAGTTACCAGAGGAGGGCGGGAAGGCTGCTCTGCCGTGACATCTGCTTCAGTGGCACCTAACAAAATGGTGGTTATTTTCACCACTGGTGAGGTCTTAAACGATGGCTTGTGCAGCCTGCTTACACTTAGCTGGGGTCACGGAGTCTCTGCTTTTTAAATGCTAGCGAGCTATGTTCTAGTTTGAATGGCTGGCTTGCTGCCTTTGACTTGAAGTTCCTCAGTGGACTGTGCAAAATTGATTTTATTTCCTTTTGTTTGCTTTTGCATTTTTCCTTTATCAAATTCATCTAGTTAATATTTTTAGTGCTTGCACTGTCCTCATGTATTGCTCATATCCATTTGCTCTAGCATTAAATGTCTTGCAGGTCATCTTTCACAGCAGCTGTAACGCTGAGATACTATGTTAGCTTTTTCTCAATATAATAGTTATGTTATTAAAGATCAGGGAAATGTGCATTGTACATGAATTTCTTAACAAAGATCCCTATATACAACCCCAAACAGAGAACTGGTAGTCTAGGCTAATGCTATATATAATCTAGTTTCCCATATGCAACAGTACTTCAGAAGAGGGTACAATAAAATTAAGGAGGAAATCACAGGGCAGCCTGCCCTGAGGAGGCTTTCCCTGCATCTATCTGCCAGAGATCAGTTTGTGCTCTAAGAAATGAGATTGTACTCTGCAAACATTGGTGTCTCTTGTTGATCTGGATATTCTCATTGTCTGTGTAAAAGTCTAATCCTTTCCGAAGTCTCATGTAGACCTTTGCTGAAGTGAGTTGCATCAGCTAATTACATGTTGTGTGTAAAAAGACTGATGTTTTCTTTTTCTTGTGTTTGTTCTAACTCCGTTTTTCAATGTCTTTGGTTTCAATTCTCCTGGAAAGTCTGAATATTGGGCCTATGTTAAATAATATAAATTTATGTATCTTACCCTATGCACTGGAAACTGGATTTTTGAGCTTCCCACTTAGACCCTAGCTATCAGTGGTGACCACTTTGTAGAGAAGAAAATAAGAGACATGTTTTAGAGATGTCCATTTCCTCCCAGCAGGAGCGGACTCTCACGAAAGCTTGCTGTAAGCAAGTTGCACTTCCGTCCTGCTTCAGACTGCAGAGGTTGGATAAACTTAGCTTGCCCGCTCTCTGGCTTTGGTTTCTGTTGGTAACTATAACCTATGAGAGCAGTCTGCTTTGGAGAAACACATGGGGTGCTCTCAGGCATTTCTGCAGAATGATGCTATATTTAGGTCTCATTTTTTGTGTTTTTTTTTTTTTTTTTTTTTTTTTTTCCTGTTTGCACGTTTTCTCTTACTGATACCATCAGGGTTACAAGCCCTACTTTTAGAAATGGCCCAAAGCCTTTAACCAAACAACCTTATATGTGGCCTCTAACCCAGATTTGGTTAAAAACAAAGCCTTCTGGTTTGCTTTATCATGTTCTGTAAACTGGGCTTGTGTTAAGATGCTGAAAGCAGAGAGCTGAAGACCACAGCTGACTCCATGGCTCCATCAGTGCTCTGCCTTCACACCACCTGTTGGTGTTTGTCTCTTTGTTGCAGCTGTTTCACCTTAGATGAAATTGCAAGAGGCACTGGGTTTTTTTCACTCTTTCTCAGCCAGCATCGTGTACTGAGCTGCTAATGAATCACCACAACTGTTTTCAGGTGTTCCTAGTCAGTATAACTTGTGTGGGCTCCATTTCAGTTTTTTTTTTTTTGTTTTTGTTTTTTTTGAGGGGGGTGTGTCAGGCTTCTGCACCTGGATTTCTGGAAGGATCTTTCTAATGATTGCTCTGGTATCATTATTAATTTTTGGTAACTCGAGGACATACTGCTATGGTAAAGCAAAATGTTGGTAGTGGATAGGGTGGTCTTGGAGAGCTGGTGCTCAGGACCTCCTTTAAAGATATTAAAAAGAGGAGTGGGGCCACTTTGTGACCACCTTCCCCATCTTCCTCTGCCGTGCAGCTTCTCCCACAAAGGCTTTTCCTTCAGTGTCCCTGGCACCCTTAGAGCCCTTTTTCTTTTCTCCTTTGTGGCTACCAAGCGTGTGGGACATCTGTTGCTGCACGCTTTTCCTCTCACATGCATCTGTGGTGATGACTTCAGTCACAAAGTCACCCTGCGCTGGGGAAAGGGTGGAGCCACACCGCTTCACTCGCTCCTCGTGCCTGCGAGCAGCCCCTTCGCCTCCTGCCTGTCGCCTCAGCCCGCGCGGGGCTGCTTGCGGGGGCTCTCCCCTGCCTCAGGCTCCACGCAGCGGGGCCGCGACCGTTCGTGTGGCGCCCGGCAGCGGCCGCCCTGTGGCAGCGGGAGGGCGCGGGCCGGGCCGGCCGCCAGGGGGCCGTGCGAGGCCGTTCCGTGCCGCTGGGGCCGCCCCGCGCCGCTCGGGGCCGTGAGGCGGCTGCAGCGCGCGGCGCGGGGCGGGAGGGGGCGCCGGGCGCGGCGCAGCATGGCGGCGGCGGGCACCGCGCAGCCACGGGCCGGGCCGGCCGCCGCCGGCGCCGCGGCGGACGAGTCGTCGGACAGCGAGCCCGAGCAGGAGCCGGGCTCGCCGCAGAAGCTCATCCGCAAGGTCTCCACGTCCGGGCAGATCCGCCAGAAGGTGCGTGAGTGAGGGGCGGCCGGGGGAGCCGCAGGGCCTCGGGCTCCGCGCCGCCTCCGCCTCCCCCGCCCGGCCTGCGCCGCCCCCGGGACCGGCCGGGCCCGGCTCGCCCCCGAGGGCACCGGCCGGGGACCCCTCCCCACCTCTCCCCCAGCCCCAACCGCCCCTCGGGGACTCGCCCGCCGCCCACCCCCTCCCCGCCCTCTGGGACCGGCTCGGGCCCCCTCAGCCCGAAGCTCCGGCCCCGAGGCGCCCCCGCCGCGAACCCCCCGCAGGTGCCGCCGCGGCTGCCCCTCAAGTGCCCTTCAGGGCCCGCCGGCGACCCCCGCCCCGGCCCAGGGCTCGGGAGGGGAGGGGAGGGGAGGGAGCTGCCTGCCCCGTCCTGTCCCGTCCCAATGGGGGCCGCACCTCGCCCCCGTCCCCTCGCAGCTCCCCGCCGTGAGCTCTCGCTGCACACAGGGCCGAGAGCGGCCCCCTCCGAGCTGCCCCCTCAGGGCCGCCCCGCTACCCGAGGCTCGACCCCCCAGGACGGTCCCTGCCCACCCCCTGAGGCCGCAGCTCCCTTCTCCCCCTGCATCCTCGCCTTCGTGCCTTCCTCGAGGGCCTGTGCCCCGGCTCATCTCCCTGTCACGCCGTGCCCTCCTCCGCTGGCCCTTTCCCAAGCCCCTCGCCCTGTGGGCAGGTGGGAGCCCATCATCTCCACCCCATTCCCAGCCCTGCCCCAAGCCGTGCGGCTGCTGCCGGCATCCCCTGCGTGCCTCCCGCAGCATCTGCCCCTTGCTGTCCTGGTCTCGTCCCAGACCTCCCCATCTGCTCCTCTGCTATTGTTCCCTTCTGTAGCGGTGCTGTGTAGCCTCCCGTCTGGTCAGGCACTGGTCTCGTGGCTGGTTAGCCTTTGTTCCCAGCTCTCTCTACCTCGCTTCACCTCCCTGGTCTGGCAGCAGTCATGTCTGCACTGATTCCCCCAGAGCATTTTTCCCTTAGGCTGGTTGTGGAGCAGTAGGGCCGTTTTTAGGGATAGTGACGGTATTTTGCTCCCCAGGAGGAGCTGTAGTTGTAGTTCCTCTGTATTGTTACTGTAAGAGAAAACGTGAAGATTTCCTTCAGTCTTAGGCTAGGAAACACCCACAGGGAGTTGCCCTCTTCTGTACTATTTTTACTATAGCTGCATGATTTTTCTCTGTAGTGGTGAAAGTCCCGTGTAACCCTTGGATTGTCGTGTGATGTGCTTCTGCTTGGAAATGCCGGGCTCATTATTCTTCTGCCATCGCATTGCTGTTGTCCCTGGGGTATGGGCAGGCACAGTTGCTGCTGTGGGGATGCCCGGTGCTGACAATGCTTATCTATTTTCTGCTGCAAAGGAGAGCAAATGTCTGTGCGTGGTGCAGAGCCTGAAGCGTTATTCACAGGGATCTTTTTCTGCTTGGTAGTTTGCCTTACTTCTGAACACACACACGTTGCCGTTCTGCTCACTGTCGTTTTGCTACACTGGTCCCAGTTCCCCCCCGCAGCCAAGCGCAGTCAGACCCGAGGCCCGTTGGCTCGCTTCATCATGCGTGGCCGAGCTGCTTCCTCTGTCTGCTGAGCACGCTGACCCTGCCATTCCCTCCTTCTTTTCCGACACCGGGCAGGTGGGACGGTTCCTTCAGCCACAACAGCGAACGGTGCTGCTCTCTGAGCAGGGTGATGCTGGATGCTAGATCTCAGACCTGCTGCAGGTGGCCTGAGCTGGTCTGTTCATCGGCTGTGGAAAGAGAAGCCTTTTGTGGTCATCTCCTGCACGGTGGGGGTGCTGAACAGCAGAAATTTGTCCTGCAGGAGAGTGGATGAGCTTTGTGATTTCTTGCTACCACTGGGGGCAGGGGTCTTGTGCATGCAAGGAGGAAGGATGCTAGGGTCTGACTTTGATACTTCTGTGGTGGTGTCTGTGATAAGAACAAGGGCAATGCCTTCCTTGGTGCTGGTGTGGGACTTCCAGCTGATGGCAGGGTGTTAAAGATGAGAAGGTAAAAGGTGCACTGAATTTTACTTTTGTTTGAATAAAGCCGAACACGTCCGCGTGTTCCTACTTAATCATTTGCCCTGTTTTACATCACTTCCTGCGTCAGCATGGCTGGAAAAAGCCTAAACCAGCCACTTGTATTACGTGAACATAAACATGTTAAGAACGAGGATTATAAACAGATATTGTCCACAGCTATTAAGCCTCCCATGTGTTAATCTGCAGAAGACTTCAACTAAACAGTGTCAAATTTTGTAAGTCAGCCCAGGTATTGTGATACCGAGGATTGATTGCTTCTGTTGCTTTTCGATGTCCTTATATTTCACCGTCATCTTTCCTGCATGCTGCTGTATGTGTGCTTTTCCTTGCCCCGAGGGCAGGGAGCAAAGACATCTTTGTGACTACTCATTGTTCTGATGAGGAGGCTTTGAGGATGTTGCTTCCTCTGTGAAGCAGACCTGAGTTTTAATTTGTCTGTTGAATGACGGAGAGCAGGCTGCAGTAAGCTGTAGGAGCTGTTGGACAGGTCCATCAGAGTGACAGTAAGAGATGCAGGAAGACTTTTACCGTGCCCCAAGGCTGTAAATCTCATCTAACCACATCTTTTGCTGCAGTTAGCATGAGATTGTGCCTGTAAGTACAGTTAAATCACAACAGAAGCTTGCTGTTAAGGCAGCTTGGGTGTGAAGCCTGCTGTAGCTGTGGAGCTCCTCCGAATTTACTTGTTTGTCAGAGTCAGTTGCGAGCACTTTGATGATGTCTTTTGCTTCTTCTGGTTCTTGTACCTTGGGCTCTCCCAAGAGAAGCTGTAAAATGAAAGTGCTCACAGGACCAGCAAACCTCAGTGGACTTGCTTCTGGGCCTGCAGGTTGCCTGGCTGTGTTCTGCTGAAACACCCTGGGGTAGTAACGCTGCGGGGCACGCAGGGCTGCTTGGATTTGTGGCTACTGGGACTTCAGTGTGCAGGGCCTGGAGACAAACCACAGCTTGGATGTGTGCAACTGAAAACTCTGCCCCTTGCGAGGATACGGGGCAGGGGGAGTGGAAAGCCGAGTGTCTGGAAAGTTGAGTACTGTGTATTAACGTAGTTATTTATTTTTAGCTAGAAGGAGTTTTAGAGGAAGAGAAGAAGATAGGCAGAGAAGTGCGTTTAGCAGTCTCTCGATGATTGTTATTCAGGGGACAGACAAAGCACTAGCGTGATA